AAGAAAGGGACAACATTTTTTCAAGGCATAGACCGGTCGATGTTTTCCTCACAATGAAGACCTTAATCAGGAGAGAATTCAAGACTTCAATGTGCAACAAACCTGAAGCTTGAACAAAGGAGAAAGAGTAGCTAGTGGCACTCTCTGGCATAACCAACTGGTCAAGATTTGAAGCCGTTGCTGAGTTTAGACACGATTGCTTGTCATGGCACCTTCATAAATTAGGTGACAACACTAAATTAACATGCCCCCTATGTAACCTTACAGGGGGAAATTTAGAAGACCGATCAGATACGATGTCCAGGTATAAAAATGATGACGAAACACAGAGATACTTGGAAAACAGAATTCAGCTAATGAACGGCTATCTATGTACCTTCTTACCCATGGGGAAAGCTGGAATCAACTAAGTGGGTAATGATAAATATCATAAAGCCTAAAATTTGAAAAGATAATAATATTTTTCGTTTCATTTTTATGCTTTGAAATTTTGTATGTTGTTACCAAACCAGACCCAATAACGAAGGGAATTCTGAAGAATATACAAAATGCACTTCCACTACTTATTCATTTAAGTATAAATGAATAACAAATAANACATGAAAGCATTTATTTATTTATATCAAATGGCAATCATTTTGTTGATTATCATTAACCATTAAGTTGGCTTCAGGCTTCACATAGGGGAGAGACCATCAAAGTGAGAAAATTCGAGAGGTGAGCAGAAAAGATATTTAAAGGTGCAAAAGAGACAGACAAAAGGGTAGAAAATATTGAGGTGAGTTCTGTGGAAGTAGTAGAATATGACATACAGTGGAGCGATGGTAATTTGAAGTCAAAAGTCAACTACCGGTTTATGGACTTTTTTGCCGTATGAATATACGTTGCTCAATTTGCCCCACGTGAAGTTAAGTCTATCGCGCACCTTATGAAAAAACCTAATGCAGAGAATAGTTGTCAACGTTCACTTTATTTCTAAAGTTCTCAACGTACGAAGAATATTAACCTTGTCTGATGGAAAAACACGATTATATCATTACACTTAGTTGAGTAAAGGATGCGTTAGAAGGTAGCACCATTGGGTTATGAGGAGTGAGACTGATAAAATCGAATATGGTGTGAGCTTCGATAATGTTGAGATTGAGTTTGTGCGATTGATACACTTACCCTTACACGATGATTGTCAGTTTCCGTTTATAATTGTAAAAATTGTAGCAACAGACTTGAATTGAAATTGATCCAGGACAATGCTGCCATCAAACAATTGCATTATTGTGACTGTATTAAGTGTCAACTTTAGATGTGTGATCCCCTTAATAAGGGCATTCATCTCGTGGTGACAAAATGTCCAAATTAAGAGAAAGAAGCTTTTACTCAAGGTTTACCTATAACCTGATTGCATATTGTAACTGAATTTTCGAGTAAAATTTTAACTCACAATGAAGCCTTCAGTGAAATTACAGTTTTTGATTTGCATTGTCGTTTGTACATTAAAAAACACAGTTTCCTAACTTGGGGCTCAGTTTAGTGATTTGATGATTATCGTGTAAACAGTTGTAGATATCTCACCCCTTCTTGCCATCAGTTTGAAAAATCATTGAGCAAAGTCCAAAACTGTGTCAAAATCATGGAAAAAGATGTAGGTTCATTAATCTAGTGTTAAAATAAATTAAATATTCCATTTATACTTTTAGAATATTTTCCTTCTTATCGACTACGTCCTTGGAAATCCAAATACATTACAACATTATGATTATAATTATAAGTATTCTCTGTTAATTTAGCTTCAATTTCAATGTTGCTTACAATTAGAGTATCGAACCTCAAGTCTGGGAAACTTCTGATGGCATTCCTAACAAGGTAAATTCCGATTCTCTGTGTATAATTGAAAAGGAAGAAGAGAACTGCAAATGCGCTACAGACTGAACGGTTTGCGTTTCTGAAGAAAAAATTGAGATCTTTTGTATAGCCTCCCACTGGTGAACCAAATTCCAATAATCATGCAATGCCCAATCCAGATGAAATTCCTAACCTTCAACCTACGTCGATCCGACTTAAATTGAGCCCTTCTAAACACTAATCTAAAGATCTTATTTGTGCACGGAGGATTATTTTCAAGCTTGAACTTAATGAGTCGTGTCAAATGGAATAATTGATTATTCAAGAAAATACCTATGAAATAAGAAGTTGGAATTCTCGAACACCATTGTAACCCATCTCATATGAAAATCACATACAAGCAGTTTCAAGCGAAACCATCCTAAACCCACATAATGCCTTTGAGTGTCAACACTTTATCAGGTTTTATATTTGAAGCATTTCAATCTGTAAAGTGTGGTTAGTGGTTAAATTTACTTGACCATGTCAAATTTTACTTAAATGAGAAAGTACTATCGATGTTTAGTTCTAATCATTTATTTATTTATATCGAATGGCAGGTATTTGTCTAGTTATCATTAGCCCTTTATTCGACTGCAGACTTTACAGGGGAGAAGAAACAACAAAGTGAAAAAAGTCGAAAGGATGGAAGGGAGGGAACAAAAGAGAATTTTAATGATGAATGTGTTGGTTTATTTATTCCACAAAATGGATTGATGAAATGAAATTGCAGTTGCAATTATATCAAAATAAATTTAAATAAAGGTGATATCGCAATATCAGATTTGTTATCGAAATGCTAGCATTTTCCTATTACAAATCAATTCACTCTTGAAAAAAATCGTTTATGCAAAAATCAGGATTTGGGAATATTGTGAGGCGAGATATGACTAAACTGTGCGTTAATAGCATTTTTTAATGAGATACAATTCAAGGCACATTCGGAATAAATTGCTAATTGTTCATAATTTCAAGTGCTACTTTACCGAAATATGGGCCATCATTGGCAATTTTGAGAAGTTGTTTTGTGTCAATTTATTTATATCTATTTAATTGTAAAAATTGAATTTTAAAAAATGTACGTTAACTATTAATTCAACAATATGTTTTCGCACCAGGAATCAAAGACAAAGCTTGCAAAAGTGCGTTATGCCAATTCGAATTTATGCAACGCTTTCCATAAATAACGCCTTCTCTGTTCACTATTGAAGTGAAAACAACATGCACGCTTTCACTATATGCATGTTGCATTTCGACATTAGAAATGCTTTCCATAAAGTAAATTTTTACGTAGGATCTGTTTTCGTATCAATTTTACAACGATTACATTTCTACTTAACTCTTTAAGTAAGTGTATTTATTCGTCACTTTAATTTAATTAAATAATCCGATTTAATTTGAGCACTTTCAAACATTAAGGTAAAGATCATATTTGTGCGCGAAGAATAAATTTCAATTTCGATTTTAATGACTCATAACAAATGGAATAAATGATTTTTTTCACAAAAATGAAATTTTAAATTTGAAATTGAAATTTTTTTATACCCTTATAACGGAACTCATGTGGTCATTGAAGTGAAAATTAAATGCAAAGAGCTTCAAGCAAAAACATCCTTAACCCTCATTATGTCTTTGAGTGACAACACTTTATTGGATCTTTATTCGGCAGCCGATAAATGTCAAGGCAGCAATCCCGAAACTGAGTGATAATGATCGAATTACCGCAGCCACCAAAAATTATGATCCCAAAATTCTCACTTGAAGTATAATGTGCCATTTGAGCTAGTCAATATTTGCAAAATAGTAAGCTTATTTTGAAAGTCTAGAAAACTGTGAGGATTTTAAATTTTGCATTTCGTATTCTGAGCAAATGCCCTCACTAGCACTTGAGACAATCAATGCCAACTATCCTGCTGATCAATGGTTCCAAGTCTTCACTGATGGGCCATACATAGAAATCTAAGCAAACATTGATGCAGATATCTTTTCTAAACTCGTCTCTTTTCACTCAGCATCGGGACACAATAGATCCTCTATTGAAGGGTAAATAGAGGCCATTAGGATAGCACTATGCCAATTATGTTGCCTGGATACGAAATTCACCACAACGGTGAAGCTTTCGGACTCCCAGTCAGCAATAAACTCGATTGGAAACAGAGAGCCACCCAAAACAGCTAAGATAAGGGAATGTAGAAATCTCTATCAGCTGCTGAGAGAGAAAAACAAAACAGTGGTCCTACAATGGATTCCTGGTCACTGTGGCATTAAAGGCAATGAGCTTGCTGACACACTCGCTAAGAAGGGGACAACGATTTTGCAATGCCTGGACCGCCCGATGTCTTTCCACACAAAGAAGGCCTTACTCAGGAGAGAATTTCTTACCTCAAGGTGCAACGAACTTAAAGCTCGAACAAAGAAGAAACAGTGGACAGTGACACTCTCCGACATACCCGACTGGCCAAGAATCGAAGCCGTTGCTGAGTTTAGACTACGTACCGGACACGATTGCTTGTCAAAACATTTTCACAGATTGTGAGTATTCACTCAACCCACATGTCTCCTCTGTAACCTACATGAGGAAATGGAGAAGACCCTCCTGATTCGATTTCCACACTTCATCCCATACCCCCTCCCAACGTGACAAACCTAGCGATTACTACCCACCCACCTATCCACTTACCCACCTATCTCTCCATCTCTCTCTATGCAACTTTCGCCCTTTCTTGACTTCTTTCTTCCTTTCCAGTTTACGTCAAAATGATGCTCACCTTCTACAATGTGCTTGAACACCACTTGGGGTGCAGAATACGACCAACAACCGATCTTCAGCGTTGGAAGGAGTGAGTTAGGCAGCTCTCTTCCACTCCATTGCTCTTCCACTTCACTTTCCATTTCCCACCTCCTTTTTCGTATTTTAGGTCCCTCTTTCTATCACCCAAGATACGCAACAGTCGTGGTTATTTTTAGTGCATATAAAGGAAAGAAGACTAGAGGTTATAAACACTCCAGCTCTAGCTGTCTGTCTGCTCACCTTGGCGTCCGTTTGCCTATCTATCTACCAGCCGTCTCTCCATCCTTACGTACATCCACATGTACACCCATTCCTCCATCCCTTCAAGCATCTAATTCATCCAATTGACAAGTTTACAACTGTGCTGGACTTGAACGCAAACTCTAACTCCGGATGAATTGAGGAGTGATGCGCAAAGAGGATTTCTTGCCACGTCGCACAAGATATCGTCAATATCTGACTCGTGAGGGATGTGTTCACCTCCCACTTGAATCATCTCCTGACCGAGCTCTCGGCCACAATCACAGTCAGCAGAGTTCATCATGCGACAATTGCCAATCACATGGCCCATGCCACTCATTGCGTTACTCACAAACATTCAAGTAATAAATACTTTTTCAACTAAATGAATGAAACCATAAAAAAATAAATAATTAAATAAATAAATGTATAAGTCGTGTATAAATGAGCTTACATTTGGGCGAATCCGATAAGCAATTCTACTCATTCATTTGCCTTGCATATTTGGTGAAGTCGATTGTGGTAAATTTTTGCAGATCTAGTGGGTGGTTGATGAAATAGCATGGTGTGGACTGTCGTTGTGATGGATTTAGATACGTCATGGAAAGGGGAGAGGAGTTCAAGTCTCTACATGCAACCATGCACGTCTTGAACATCACAATACAAGGAGTGGGTACATATATAGCAGTTCATTTGCTGTTTTCCGGCTTCCTAGTATCTTTGCATTTTCGTCATTATCTTCATAGCTGAACACCGAATCAGGTAGGTCTTCTCCATGTTAGTTGATTGCTTACTCCTAATCTATGAAGGTGTTTTGGCAGGATATCTTGCCCGGTACGTAGTTTTAATTCAGAAATGGATTCGATTCTTGGCCAGTTTTTTTAAGTTGGAGAGCGTCACTGGCTTCTATTTCTCCCTTGGTCAAGCTTAAAGTTTGTGTCACTTTGAATTCTCCCTTGATTAAGGTCTTCATGAAGTGGAAAACATCGACTGGTCTATGCTTTACTTGATTGCTGACCCTTCTGAGCAAGTGCGTCAGCAAGCTAACTGCCTTTAATCCCACAGTGACCAGGAATCCATTGTAGGATCACTGTTTTGTTTATTACACTCAGCAACTGATACAGTTTTTGTATTAGTGTATCTCAACTTTTTGGGTAACGTTTTGCTTCCATTTAAGATTATTGCTGTCTGTGTGGCCGAAAGATTTACTGCTTTAGTGAATTTCCTATCGTGGCAACATAATTTACTTAGTTCTTTCGTAACGACCGTAATTTCCCTTTTGAAGGTGGATCTAGAGTGTTTTGGAGCTGCGTTGAAAGAGACTAGTTGAGAGGAAACATCATTTTAATATTAGTTTAATTATTCATTTATTTATCAATTCATTTATTAATCTAGTCCATTTTTATGCGCATTCTCGTGAATAAATCAATTCTACTTAAGTGTTTAAGTAACCTCTTTGCTCCCATACGCTTGATTGGGGAGAAAGAGGAGTCGATAATTAATTTAAATTTTAATTAAATATATAAGTAGCTATGAATGTGACTGCTGAAAAAAAGTTACTATCTTTATTTCATCTAAAAATTTAACCAACACAAACGATGGTTGTAGCGTATTTCACTATATATATATATATATATATATATATATATATATATATATATATATATATATATATACATAAAAGAAAGAGAAAGTAATTAGGAATATTTAAATGCTAATATTTAAAATAGCGAAAACATGAAGACACGTTTCATTTATCCGTACGATTACAAACTCTTCCACAAAATTAATATAATGTCAAGTTTCCAAGCTTTCGCTGTTTGATCCAATTGCCAAAGATGCCACTTTATTCCAATCTTATTGCCTTAATGGATCGTGACCATGAGGAAACCTTGTTGACAGGTAGTTCTTTTCGGCTATTTAGCACCCAAATAACTCATAGTCTCTGATTTACGAATTATGAACTGGCAACACGAAATCCCATTTCACTAATTAACCGTTATTCCAAAATGATATCCTCCAATCGAATTGCATCTTTGCCATGGTATATTTACATCGGAGGCAGAACAAAACTTTGACCTTCCACTCATGGCCACAATTTGAAAATTTTATTGAAATAAAATGGACACGGCAGTGAATATTTTAAATTTTTAATATATATATTGATATTCAAGTTATTTAGACGTAATATCTTTATCAAGCATAAATTACATGGTCATATGACGGAAAGCACTCAGTTCTACTTATATGATGGGAACAATGTTTTGTGTAAAATTGATTGGCTAACTACTATAAATATTATCCTTGACAAAATTGTATACAAATTAAGCAAATATATAAATTCGTTCTGCGTTGATATATTGAATGCCATTTGTGTGTTCAAATTGGCGACTTTTAAAGCTTGTTCTGCGTTGGAGGCTGCAATGAATGTACTCAAAATATAAATTTCGCAAGCGCTGTGCTTATAATATTTCGATTTGTAAAGTTACGAATCAACCAAAACAATTTCTCCTTTACATACTTGGTCAGCACTAACTTGCTTTTAGAAGTTTTTAAGTGAATCTTGCATTTTCCACTTTATAAAAAAACTATTCATAAAATTCAAAATCTTGCTCTTAATTTTTATTATTTAAATGAATAGATTCCAACATTTCAAACGTTTTTTTAGATCTTTACTGAACGGAATTTAAAAAAAATTACGGTGTGAGCTTGTCATTTAAAGATTACAAGACATTTCAATCTATTTCATTGGTGTCATATTTATTTGAGAGTAAACAACTAATGTTGGGATGCACTTTACAATTTTTTTAAATAAATTCAAGGAGATGAATTAAGGGAGCAATTAATATAAGCGTCATTGAGGTCGATTCCAATGAATTAATAGAATTAATTTTTAATTATTAAAAAAACAAGTTAAATGTGAATTAAAAAATTATAAGTCGCAATAGAATAGAATGCAGCAAAATTTATGAGAAAATAAATAACGTGAGAAGCAATCTTAATTTTTCAACTGTCAAATCACTTGAAATGATACTCCTAAAGAGTACAATTATCAGATCTGCATACGTAAAGGTCAAAGTGGCAATTCAAAGTCAAGTTGTAATTTTATGAAATCAAATTCTTCTTAAGCATTTATTTTGAGGAAAATATGTTAATTTCGTAAAATGCTTAATCTGTTGAAATGGAACTTGCGTAAATGAGGAGTTTTTAATTCCTTGCGAATGAAAATAGAATGAAGAGTGATTCACAGTTAAAAATATAGCCGAAGGAATGTAGATAA